ATTTTTGATCAAATATAGAACGTTTATAAACATTTGAAAGGGTAGAAGGAAATCTATTCAACTTCCCAAACTTCACATATACAATCTTTAATCAACTTCTAACCATTTATAAATATATAACTACTAATTTTTTCATTATCTTTACATTACTACAACTATTAGTTGAAAAATAATGTCATACTCTCTCCGTCCCAACTTAAGGTTCTCATTTTCCTTTTTTTATGTCCCAAACAAAGGTTCACATTCATACTTTGGGAAATAATTAGGATATTTTTACTTGGACTTATATTTGTTGGTCCGGTCTGACCTGAATTGGTCTGGTCTGTATTTTATAACTTTGGAAGTCTGATCTGGTCCGTAAAGCCTGGTCTGGTATGATCTGGTCTGTTTAAGTCTGGTATGGTCTGAGATTGAAAACAGTCCAAGTAAAAACATCCTTAGCACTCTTAAGTGACAATTTAATCATTAATATTAAAAGTAATACATTCATAACATCACAGTTATCATCAATGACTCATTAGATTATACTCTCATCAAAACTATTTTTCAAAATATACTTGAATTACCTTATTTAATCATTGTCTAAATAACATCGTCACTTTGCAATGATAACCTTAAGTCGGGACATAGGTAGTATATATTTTAAAACACATAAATTAGTTTATGATTCAATAAAACAAATGCATAATTTAAAAACGGTAAATATATAACTAATCTTTTTAGTACTAAATGTTAAGAACCGTGCTAAGAATGTTTTATTTGGACTAAAATTTTCTAAACAGCGCAATCTTTGTAAGTCGGGCTTGGCCAACCAGTTTGATTTTGATCTTCTCATGTATGTTTATTTTGGTTTGGTTTTTTAAATTTAATTCGGGACGAGACTAAAAGAACTTAAAGTGAATATATGAGTCAGAGATGAAAAATTTGAATAAAAGATGACTAAAAAGACCGACAAATAAATACTGGTGGATTTGCATTATGCTTCCTTACTAAGTGTATTTTACTGATCTCTATTATTATTATTATTATTATTAAAAAAATTATTATTATTATTATTATATAATACCATTATATAATACTTCGTACTAATAAATTTTTAAAAAATTGGGGCCCCTTTATTTTGTGGACACTATTATGTACAACTGATTTAACCTGTTTAAGAACGCCCCTGTAACTTAGACCATGGTAACACAAACTAAAATACTCCCTCCATTCCGAAATGAAGTTCTCGGTTTGACCTACACACATATTTAGGTAAGGTAGAGTTTTGTTTTGACTTTCCAAGTTTACCCTTACTTTATGTCAAATCAAGTAAAAAGTGAGTAAAAATTGGGTAAAAACTAAGGGTAGTTGTGACTTTTGAGATTAAAGTGGTTTCCTTTTATAGAAATGAGAACTTCTTTTTGGGACATCCATAAAAGGAAAGTTGGAACTTCTTTCCGGGACGAAGGTAGTATATGACATGAAATTGTGCCGTTTATTGATTTTGTGTTTTTTCCTGTCTTTTTTTTAATTTCGCTTTTCATTTTTATTTTCTTGATAAGATAAATTAAATCACGATAACTCTTACCGTGCGTTGCACGGGTACACATACTAGTATATATATAGAGTAAGGTTCAAGTGAGAAGAACTCTTTAGGTGAGAAGTGAGAATGAATCTCAGCCGTTGGATTCGACTATTTTGCAGTAAAAACACTTTATATTGCACTAAAATATGCAACCCACTTTGGTGGCAATTTCTGAAAAATCCGTATTACAGCCATCTAGTGCAACATGAAGCTGTTTTGGTGCAACGTCGTCAAATTTTAGTGCAATATGAAACAGTTTTAGTACAACACTGCAAAAAAAAATAAATCTTACTGCAACATCAAGCTATTTTCAGTGCAAAATTGGAAATCCAACGGCTGAAATTCATTCTCATTTCTCACATTAGATGCATTTCTCACTTGAACATATATATATATATATATATATATATATATATATATATATATATATATATATATATATATATATATTGTCACTACTTGATTAATGATCTTTTACGTAGTAATTTTTATACATGTATGTTTCATATTCTCTTTTACAATAAGTTATTTTAGCTCCTGGGCAAGATTATAATATATCGTATGAGACAACACACTAATAACACCGAACATAAAAACCTAAATGAGATCACATAACAAAATTCTAGTCGTAGAATTGACGCTTACTTTGTTTTATTTTACATTTTTACTTACATTGCGCCAAATGTTACAAAAGTTCAATGAAGAAAGATCACAATATTCTCAATTTTGTCGGATAGCTTGGGATATGACACTTATGGGATAGTGCTTGGGTATTTATAATGAACATGTCCTTTTCATATGTTCTCAAAATTGAGTTATTCGTGGGACGCAATAGAACATTTTCCAGACTCAAGTATTGAGAAGTGTAGACCGTGACAGAAGAATAGAAAAAGGGCCAGGAAACATATAGAGAAACTGACAAAATGAAGATAAAATGGTGAAGAAACTATTTGGTTACTTCGTCAGTCTTGTGTAGTCCAATAATTTAGCTTACCTAGCTCTTTTGTCAATTAATCATAAAATGACCAATGATCATGATCTAGTTGGATTTAATGCGTTAGGTCGAACTCATGTTTGATATACATCATTGATTATCACAATGTGGCAAAGCCTCCTACCTATGGTGGGGTAAGAAGAAGTGGGACGTATGCAGCCTTATGTAATACTACGTATAAATTTTGTACGTACATTAATTAACTTTCATGAGTTAAAAGAACATCAAACCTCATTATATTACGTGAAAGTTAGTTAATGCACGCGCAAAAATTATACGTAGTATTACGTAAGGCTGCATACGCCCGTGGCCCGACTTCTATGTATGTGTACACACATATATATGTATATGTGTGTGACATTCTTCTCTATATTTAAGTTGTAAAGATCATGTGATCGAGCCAGGGCCGGTCCTGTCCATTTATGGGCCTATGAGCGACACGCTTATTCGGGCTTATATCCAAGATAAATCGTAAACCACATACTTATTAAGTTATTTTACATATAAATTAGGAAAACAGGTCAAGTAAGACCTTCTACTATAATGAAATCGTCACATAAGAGCATGTACACAATAAAGTGTCAAATAAATACGTCTACTTATAAAAAACAATCGGATGAGTCATAACAACCCATCAACAACCTCCTAATCTCGATTTTATCTTACATGTCGTTATTTTTGCCTTGTATTTAAGTCAATCCTAGCTAAATATTCCACATTAGCCTTATAATTTGTTTTAAAAAGATAGTCGAGTGTACGCCAAAATCAGGGTTACGAGGTTGTCAAAATCAGTCCGGCCCAGTGTCCTGGCTCCGCCCTTTTCTGAAAATATTAAAATGGTCAAACTTATAGCAATCCTGCTCGTTTATAGCATATGAGCGTTATACTTATATGATACGGGGTACTATTACATAAATATCCGTCTACAGAAAGTAACTTTCACTAGTATAAGCGTATAGCCGTATGGCCGTATGGGAGTATATGAGAATGATAAATTTTGGAAAAAGAATATACGTTGTACGAAGTATTTGAGTACGTATTACTACATACGTATGTTATTAATTAATGGTCAAAGGAGCAAATTCAAACCAACAAACAAAAAGCAAAACAACAAAAAACAAAAGAGACAAAACAGGAGAGAAAGAGATGGCATGGGAGGTAGAGAGAACCAATCAATCGAAAAACAAACAAAAATAATAACCGACAGAAACATGGAGAACTTAGGGAGATAGTCATTCAAATAATGTTAATGATACAGGTGTCGTAGCTCAACTGATAGGGAAGGAGTGTTACAAGGGTTAAGTCTCAGGTTTGACTCCCGACAACTGCGATGAGAGATTACTCAATAAGAGGATCTCTGCAAGTATCGAGGACGAATCTACACTCTCTATCTGTCAAATTGTGATTATAGTTCAATTGACATTCTCTCATCGTGTCATCCGGTCGGCGTTGGAGACCCTCAAGGATGAGGTGTCATCCTTTTTTTAAAATAATGTTAATGATCACATAGTAGTAAAATTGGTGTCTCTATCTAATTACTCCTCAATTTGAAGTATGATATGGTACTAGACTAATGCTTTTATTTGTTAGTTTATTATACCTTTATCCTAAATTGTTTCACAAAATAACATTTTATGGTCAACCATCATCTTTATCGATAATTGATTCAGTTTTAATAACTAAAATTTATATATTCAGAAACTACATTAAAATCTTTATAAAATTGTCAAATCTGAATTAAAATATAATTTAGAATTAATATATTAATCAAGTGAACAAAACAAATATATTTAAATTAAAAGAAGTACATGCCTGCACTTCTCCCACGGGTTACACAAATTTTGGTAAAAGATTATTTTTATGGTCATTTCAGTGCAAATTTGAATTTAATAATGGTCAATAAAGTGACTACTACAAAACATTAAACTATTAAAGTACAATAAATCACATGTATATTATAGTTATATGGATTATTACTTGAGCTCGTTTAGTAACATTGAAAGTTCTCGCGTGGTTGAGCTCGTTTAGTAACATTGAAAGTTCTCGCGTGATTGAATTGATTGTACTGAATAAAAAATCTTTAAAATATATTTTATTCATAATATAAAATAAAAATTATACTTTCCTCTGTCTCTTTTTAATCGCAACATGTTGAATTTTACACTATTCACATGTTCTACTTTGACTACATTTTATATTATTATTTTATGAAAATTATTTTTTTTAATTATATTGTTTAATTCATCTCATTACAAATTTTCAGAATCTAATTTTTAAATATTTTTTACTAATAGGGATTAAGATATAATTACGGTCAAAGATGTGTGTTAGCAAGTATGAAATGTTAACCGTTACAACGAAATAAGAACGGGGGAAGTACGAGATATAGTTAAATGATCCTATAGCCTAACTTTTAATTCAATCAGAAAAACATGTTACCTGAAATACTTAAACGATGTCGGTTCTTTGCAATGATATTGAGACACGCGTTTGAGTGGCACGTTCAGTCCTTCCATCCAATGAGGGCTGCGGCTGCTCTTGGAGGCTACCGCCGCCCCGGACGGCGTGACGGCCGGAGTTCCCCAGAAGTACGACATCTCAGCGTCCCTGAAAGCTTCTCGCTTGGCTTCAAACGCCATGGAAAACACCTTCTCGGTGCGTTCCAGCATTTGACTCATTAACCTTTCCGGGACTCCGTGGTTGACCAGCCTGAACAATCCCCACTCCCTGCATGCCGCCCTTATTTCCGTCATGCACCCGAAATCTATGACCGGAACGCCGTCGTAGTCGCCGTCTCCTACCGCCGTTGACTTCACCGCCGGATTTAACGCCTCCCCTGTTTTTGCTTCTGCGGATGGACGAAACAGAGGAGGGTAGGAATGGTAATTTGACGCAGAAGACATGTTTGAGTAGTTAAAATTTTCTCTCTGTTTTATTAGCTGACTAGCTAGATAGCTCCTTGCACCTCGTTTGGCTGGCCCTTCCTCTGATCGATGTATAGAGCTGAGACAAAAACTCGTGAGTTTTGACAAGCTACTGGTTAATAAGTACTTGGTTTGTTGAGCCTCGTTTTCCTGAAGGTCTTGACATCCGTCGTCCTCGATCAGTCCAAATGTTTATTGGTCAAATAATGATTCATTATTCAAAGCAACATAGCCAATTGTATAGTAGTCCATAATTTAATTTGTTGGATACCATTTTAATACGGGTCGGAGTAGCTTAATCATGTTGTTGTTATATAGAGGATAGTTGTGACTTGTGTGAGACACTTTTGTCATTTTAAAATATCATTTTTAATCATGTTTTTGTCACTTTTGGTTCTCTATGTTGTGTTAGTGACACTTTTGATACTCGATTTTTAATTTTTTCTAATTTTAGTTTCAATTATTGTGCAAGAGACACTTTTAATCATCGATTTCAAAGTTTCCCACTTTTAGTCTCATGAGTATTATCAAATTGACGTTTTTAATCCTTTCGTTATGATTTTGACATAATAAGTGGAGAACTAAAAGTTCATTATTATAACAGTTGAAGGACCAAAAGTGTAACTATTATGAAACCTGAAGGACTAAATATGGAAATTTTTAAAGACGGATACTAAAAGTGTTTTTCGCACAATATGTCGAAGGACTGAGAGTCGAAAACTTCGAAGTTGAGCGTCAAAAGTGTCATTAAAATAAGGGAAAGTTCCCGAAATAGGACTAAAAAAGTTTGAAAATTCCAAAACAGAATTATGTTTTTATTCCCAAAATAGGAGTAATTACTGCCAACTTTGGAAAATACTGTCATATTTGAAGTCTGATACTGCCAAAACATGACAGTAATTAGTCCTATTTTGGGAATAAAAACATGGAAGTCCTATTTTGGGAATAAAAACATGGAAGTCCTATTTTTGAATTTTCAAACTTTTCTACTCCTATTTTGGGTAATATTCTCTTAAAATAATAGTCACGGGACTAAAATGACAAAACTGTTGTTATATATATTCTCTCTCGCCTTTAATATTAGGCTTGTACCTCGACTTATAATGTACTCTACCACCTTGTATTTGAATTGATCTGATTCTTTAGGATGTTTAAGATCTTTTTAATTGAATTAAAAATTTGTTAATTTAGTGTGATTAGATCTGATTTTTTTATATCTGATATGGTCAAAACTGGTCTGATTTGGTAGTGAAATCACATGAGGGTTTTGTAGATCGAAGCTGTTTTCTGTGTTTTATTATTGAGAGTATGCTGAATATTTATGCAACTAAAACACTCATCTATTTTACATAACAAAATATACAGCCAATTAATACACATATATACCAAATATGTGCTCTTTAATTTGTAGTAGTTGCCAAATATTTGCTCCGCTAAACGTCTCATTCGTCATTTGAAATGAATCCAATTAAAAACATTACCACTCTCCATTAAAATATTTAATATTATGCCTTTTTGGAGTGAAGCCATCTACAATTGTATGAGCATTCATAATTAATTCTTATTGTGAAAAGTGTCAAATAAGTCCCCCCCTACTATTACGTAAATGTCAATTAAGAGCATGAACTCATATATCATCCAATTAGACCCACGAACATTTAAAAAATTCAAATTGACTTTTTAGCCTATAACATTCTGGTTCCAAGTAAAAGCATATGTCGTGCCATTTAATTTTTGTATTTTCATTTTCTCCTTTTTCTTTTTGTTTTTCTTTTTCTTTCTTTATTTTCCTTGTTTCTCTCTTTCTTCCCCCATTCCCTTTTCTTCTCCAACCCGACTCCCCCTCTACCGCGTCTCTTTCTTTCCCTTGCTTCCCTTCTTTCCCTTTCATTCTTTCTTTCCCTGCTTTCTTTCCTTAGCTTCTATATTTTACAATCACCAGTCTGGCTGCCCACTGGATCCGAACGTTGGTCTTCTTCCCCGGTTAACCTCCCGCGAAGCCATAGAAATCGATCCAAGCTCCGGTCGTCTTCTCAGACCAATTTCCGATAAGGAGAGCGTCTGTCCTTTTCACCAAATGTTGTCCTCCTCTCTTACCAACGTTTTGTTGGTGATTTTAGTGTCACCGGCCGTTTTGTGTAATTGGAAATAACATGAGTGCCAATGAGAATTAGAACTATGATCTAATACAAGTTAGAAGGTGTGGAATGCACACTTGTATACAAGAACTAGTTTAATTCCAAAGTGTCTACGTTAGTGGAACTCGAGGTATAACTTTCAGTAGACCAGTTCTGTGGTTCTAGACCGAGTTCTAGAACAGTTAGACAGTTTCTAGCAGTTTCCCAAAAACTGCTGCGGTTATTCTTAAACGTGTTGCAACTGCCTAGGACGGTGAATATGGATATATACCACCATATTTCGTACAGAGGAGATAGAGGAAACATATCCAACATATCTTCATCACTTTGGCACTCAAATTAAAGATAACAATCCATATACTAGACTAGTTTGGCTCTAGTTCTTGTGCCTAAGTTCTAGAGTTGTCCTTAAGGATTATTCTAGATTGAATTTCTTGTAACCCAGGCATAGGGGAGAAATATCAATTCGGAAAGTGAACTTACACGATCCTTAAGCAATCCAAGTACTCGATTATCACCCCTACGTGATATACCCCAACACGTTTCGTCTCATGAAGTGCTGATCTTTTCCATCAATTTGTTATTTTATTTATGTTTCTTATTTTTCTTGTATATCCATGGATGGGATGGGTATACCAAAACCCAAAAAAACAACGAAAAATGAGAAACATGGAGTAGCTTGGGGTTGCGATTAAGCCAAAGTGGGAGAGATTAAAAATGAAAGTAAAAGAAAACAGGGAACTGGAGGGAGCAGAAGGAGAGAAGAAAGAGAGGAAGAGAGAAGGAGAGAAGAAAGACTGAAATAGAGGAAGAGAGAAGGAGAGAAGAAAGAGTGGCCACATGTCACTGTTGCCATTTATTTGATGACCGGATAATTACCTAGTAAAAAGCCAATTTGAACGTTTTTTACAAGTTCACATGTTTAATTGAGTGATATTTGAGTTGATGGACTTAGGATGTTTTGGACTGAAATTTGTTGGTGTGGCCTGGTCTGGTCTGTTTAAGTTTGGTCTGGTCTAAGGATGGCAATGGGGGCGGGGACTCGTGGGAACCGCCCCGCGGGGAAGGATGGGGTGGGGCTTGGGGTGGGGTGGGGCGGGGGCGGGGATGAGTGAAATATTTTTATGCCGTTAAAATATGGGGCGGGGGACGGGTATTGCTACACCCGCCCCGTCCCCGTTATAAATATATACTCAAACATATATATACACATATATAAATATATGTGTATATATATGTTTGAGTATATATGTGTATACTACAATTTGATAAAAAAAAATACACATATATAAATAATGTACACACATATTAAATTAAATTATTTGTAGTATATAACAAACGCATATACATATAGACATACATAATTGTATACGGTTTAATCATGGTTAATGAATTAATACATATTATACTAGAATAATAATTATAAGCTAGTGATGATTAAAAATATTTATCATAAATGTTACTCCGTATAAAGCGAGTAAATAAATACACACACATTTATTTGTAATATAATATGTAATTAATTGTATTATAATTGTTGAGAATTTTGAAACAACGTACATGATGATAATATGTTTACTTATATTTTTACTTTAATTGTCTTCAATTCACAAAACTTATTCAAATTGAAGAGTTATTAAAATTGGTGGTATTAACTTTTAATTAACACAATACTTCAGTGTTGCGTGCGTGTGTGTATCATATATCACTATGTGCGCGTAGATATATATAGGCTTAGGATCAAATGAGAACAACGTTTAACATGAGAACGTGCGAAAACCACATTTACCCTCAATGTGAAGTAGCTCGCACAATGCACTTTTTTGTATCTAGCATAATATTTACAAAAGTTCCACCGTGATTATTTATATTAGCTTGTATTGAGCGAAGTCCAAATGTGCACTAGAATGACTCTATTGTGTATCACATTGGATTATTGTGTATCACATTGGATTAAATGTGAGTGTTCACACGTTAAGCATCGTTTTCATTGGAATATAATCGCACTACATATATTTATAATAAGAGATTAAAAGTATATGCAAATACGATAATTAAATTTATATGCGGGCACCCGTGGACACCCGTGGGGGACAATGGGGTGGGCGGGGATGGGGCGGGTCTGGGAGTAACGGGGGATGGGGCGGGGATGGGGGGAACTTTTTAGACATGGGGCGGGGGATGGGGGAGTGTACCCCCGCCCCAAACCCGCCCCATTGCCATCCCTAGTCTGGTCTGGTAAACGTCTGGTCTCTGTGTATTTTATAACTACATATGTCTGGTCTGGTCTGGTCTGTTTAAGTCTGGTCTGGTCTAATCTGTTTAAGTCTGGTCTGTGATTGAAAACAATCCAAAAGAAAACATCCTTAATTGACATTTTCGTAGTAGTAAATGGACTTATTTGACACTTTTTACATTCTTAGTAAATGAAGTACTTTGTCACTTGGTGTCAATGCATTAACATCACTTTTGGAGTGACCTAAAGAATTGCAAATTGCAATAATAACGTGTAACTAGTTCTTTAGTTCTTAATTATGACTAATCACGTTAGATTCTGAGTTTTGGCCCTAACTTGTAATTCTATTACTTTTGCTACCATTTGACACGTTCATTCGCATCATTTTAAGAGCGCAATCACAGCATGAATGGGATATATTTTAAAAATAGTTCTTGGCTTCTGCAAGTACAATGTCTCGGGCACTTAACATTGAACTACAGAATCAATCATTCTTCTTTAACGTTGTAAACATATCTTTTTAGGTGTAATATTGCTAAATTTTACACTATTAATGTCTTTATTTTAACCACACTTTAATTAATTTATTAATTATTATAAATTAATTTTTTTAAAGTATTGTTAAAATTATGTCATTTTAAATTTTCAAAAACTGAAATATTTAGGACACAAATTAAAAGTTTCATCTCAGTTAGTAGAGTGCCGCCTCATGTGCAAACCCTAGAAGGGTGAGCCACCGTTTGGAGAGGAACGACGAAGACTTTTGTTCATCTAAACTTAAAAAAGTGGTACACACTCGTATGAGTGGTGTTTTCATCCCTAGGATTTCTAGGGTTCTTATTCTTCTGTCAATTTTGACAGTGGTGTTACAGATGATCTCTTCTCAAAATAATGAGGATGAAGTTTTGCTGGCGGAGGCTACGACGTCAAGTGCTGCGAATGAGATCCGAACGATGGAGGATGAAGATGAAGTGATGATGATCCACCCCCTCCTAAACCGCCGCCATGGAGGATCTGTGAGACTAGGGTTTCCGCCGCAACCATGGGTCATCTGATCCATTGGTTTATTTTTTTTATTTTGTTTAATTCAAATTTAATTTTTAATAAGGAACTCTGTTCTTATCGAATAAAAGCTTTATCCCATGAACGACAAAGCATGCATCCAATGTTATTTAATCGACGATTATTCAAATCAAACCAAACAAGTTCTTTTGGAATCGATATGCATGCTCCTCCTCCGTCAGAATAACTTTCCAATTTATTATCAATTTTAAAAGTTCCTGACATACAAATGATTTGTAGTTTTGTACACTTAGTAATTTTAGGCAATATTATTATTATAAGTAATAAAAAAATACTGTATAGAGAATATATCAATGTCCTTTTATGCTTTTTACACTCTAAAAACTATCTTTTTAACAATTAATTCTATCAAGTTGTCACTTACAACAAGCTAACATACTCTACCAATCAAGCAACTAATAACTAACACAATCAACTATTGTCAACCAACTATTACAACTTGCTAATAGCTAACACAATCAATCAATTCCATATAGATATCACAAGTTCACAACTAGCTAAGTAGCTAACATTCAACAAGTAACTGCCAAACAAGGTCTTCTTATATATACTTTTTCAAACTAAGATTATGGTCGGGTAAAAGATCAGTCCCATAGGTTTGTTTTGGATAGGGATGTTAACGAGTCAAGCCCGAACACCTCGAGCTCGAGTTCAGTTCGATCGATTCAGTAACAATGATGTTAAGGTTTTAGCCCGAAACTCGACGAAATTTATAAATGAGGATTATGTTTGGCTCGATAGACGTTCAATGTTCGAACCGAGCGTTTGGTAAGCTCGATAAATGTGCTCTAGTTTAAATTTTTAGTTGATGCATGTTAATTACTCGTGCTCGAATTATTCGACAAATACTTAATTCGTAATTAATCATATTAAAATTTATAAAAGCATACCAATTACTTATAAATTTTGACATATATATCAACTATATCTATAAGTCTAGGGTGTTCGATAGGCTTGAGCTCAAACCAAGTCGAATACTACGAAGCTCGGCTAAAAAAACTATTTGAATTCAAATTCAGCTTCTGTTCGAGTTTGAAGCTCGTTAAGTTCTGCTTGTTAAGTTTGAAATCGAACTCGAGCTCCAATAATTCGAAAAAAGCTCGATTCATTAACATTTTTAGTTTCAAATTGTTCCGCTTCAGTTCCAAAATTATCTCATTATATTTGGGACAAACTGTTTCCATCATTTGCAATGGAGCTAAAGACTCACTATTTTTTGGCTTCGGAATATGATGGAATAAAGCAAAATGACTCATTAAACTGTCTGTTCTTTTTTGTTATGAAGGAGCAGTCAGTCTTGTAATGTTCGGCGCGGTTTTCACTAGGGGTCATTCGTAAACAGTCTATCTGTGCTTTAGTACAGGGGTAAGACTGCGTACATCCGACCCCCCTTACCCCACCGTTGATGATGATGAGATATTTGGGAGAAACTATTTTTATCCCAAACTATTTCAAAACAAAACGGGATAGGTGTTTTTAAAAAAAAAAGCTATTTGTAGACAAAAATTGTACACATTTTGCACACATTATACGCAATTGTCTACACACACAAACAATGTGTACACAAGTAGCTCATAACATTGTGTGCACAGACAAATACGTACAAATGTGTGGGAAAGGTATACAAATTTTGTGTACAAGAAGAATTGTTCTACTCCCCCATCTCATTTTGGTTGTCCTTCTTTGAGGATTGTCCCAAATTGAATGTCACATTTTCTTTTTTGAAAAGAAAGAAAATGTTAGAAATATGCGATATTTGTCATTTCATTTTATTCTACTCAATTATCAATCACATATTTTAATTTTCAATTCCTTTATTAATAATGAAGGGACAAATTAAAACAACACAACCCCTCAAGTCCTGAAGTCCTGAACCACCCCTCAAGCTGCCTAACCGCTCGATAAGTTTCTGGCTCCGTCACAAAACCATTTTTTTTCGTCGTCTTTTTTCCTTCAGGTCTCGGAGTAGAACTGGTATAGATCTTGATCTTTTGACAGAGAGTTTGAGGTAAAATTTGTTTCCTTGAGCTTATTTCGCGAATTCGTTCTTAAGTATATAAGGCTTTTTAGCACTGTTTCGACGTATTACTAGGACCGATCCTTTCTTTAATTCTATTGAATATACTTCCTAGTTTTTTTTCCTCCAGCTTGAAGTAGATTCTTATCCAATGACTCAAATGTTTTTTGCATATGCGGAATAGTTAATTTTACGGAGGTTTCGCGATATTTTAAGTGGCAGTACAATGGAAGCGTCGATTACATGCTCGATGAAATGTCATTCCATTCTGTAGAGTTTCCTTCAGTTGCAGGGTGTATAATTTGTTAACTTTTATAGCCTCATGTTCCCGTGTGCTTTCCGAACCTCCTGCAAGCTACTCTTAGCCTATTACAGATTTGATCATTGGGTTATTTGGTGATTCTGAATGAAGATTTCGAGAGCTGTTAAGACTTTTGGAGCATGAAGCTTAATATTTTCATTGATATTATATTTAGGTTTTTGAAAGTGGAGCCGTGGGAGAAAGAGTGTTATCAGTCCCAAATGTCAATTTCTCTTTCTGTCATTAATTTAATTATTGATATAGTGTTTCAAGATTAACTACCAACTTAGAGTAGATCATGGATGCTGTTTATATCCAATCCGTGTAGGTTATGAAATAAAGTAATAAGTTTTAACACCAGTGCTTCAATGATGCTTAATGTTTTGAACATTTTCCCGCTTTCTCCCTTTGGTTATTAATCCATATTCTCGCTGGTAATGAATTCAATTATTATACAGTATAACGTAACCAAGGGATTATGACTTGTGAGCATCGGTAATGGAAAGATAGTCTACCTGTCCTTTTAGCCATCGGCACTCCGCACTCGGCAGAGTGACTACTTACAAGTAGTAAGGGGCAGTTGACCTCTGTGATTCATATTGCATAGAAAACTGTCACTGAAGGTTTTTTATTTATAAAATTGACTTCTAAACACTAACTCTTTGTGAGATATGATAATTTTTTGGTAAAATACGGTAACTAACAAGTCTAATATGATAATTGATAAACTCAGTTAAACCACTCAAACGGTTTCTTAAGTATTAGCATCATTCCACACCAAAATATTGATTTGAATGTTGAAATAGTGCATGACTGCTAGGTCAATGAAATTGTTAAAAATGTTGATGCATCTTTGGAAAGATATCATTAACTGTCTTGACAATGATTTTTTAATGATGATATACTCATGAAAAAAGATATGGAGTAGGACCATGATAGTGTGCCTAACAAAACTAAATGTAGTATCAAACCAATTCTAGAACTTGATAAAGCATAATGGATTATTGTCTGTTAGTTTTTTTATAACTATTGAAAATCACTTTTTAAAATTTTGATGCTTTTCTTATTCGAACTGTTTTATATTCAAAGCATTTTGATTGCACATATGGCAATACTTTCAATTTTTTTGCACTCCATGGTCAAATTCTTAACTCTGCTATTACTTTAAATCTAATTTTGCCTTTCTTCAAACATGGACAAGTGTAATGCAATCTTCTGGGGATCTTCTCGCTTGTTCACAAGAGAGAGAGAATCTCGGTCTTGAATTTGGAATTTGTTTTACACGCTCCCTGATATTTTTCCTATATTTATTGTTTTTTTTTTAAAGAATACATTTTTAAGGTGCTTTTAATCTCTGCTGCTTAGATATAATAATATTGTGTTGCGGGAAGAATGGCCAAGCATCACCCTGACCTGATCATGTGCCGGAAGCAGCCAGGAATAGCCATTGGACGACTCTGCGAGAAATGTGACGGGAAATGTGTCATTTGTGATTCATACGTGCGGCCTTGCACGCTGGTCCGCGTTTGTGATGAATGCAACTATGGCTCTTTCCAGGGTCGCTGCGTCATCTGTGGAGGGGTTGGCATTTCTGATGCTTATTACTGCAAAGAGTGTACTCAGCAAGAGAAGGACCGTGACGGTTGCCCCAAAATAGTCAATCTTGGAAGTGCCAAAACTGATCTTTTCTATGAGCGTAAAAAATATGGGTTCAAGAAAAGATGATTTGTGTGTTCCTTTGCATTGCCTAAACAGAGGGGTGGTATCAATGTTGCAATTTAATCAAAGACTTTGTCATTCTGTTGTCTTTACCTTTTGTGCTGTTTGCTTTGTCCTACTCTTTGAGGGTGAGAGTAAGCAATAGGTGTGCTTAGGCGACCCTAGCTTTCCTGTGTGTTTTTTCAACTTTCTTTTGCAATGCTTTAGTAGGACTTTTTAACTCTGGTATTTGAGCTTCTCAAATAGGCGGATTAGCGCTAAGAAGCATTAGTGCCACTCCATACACCATTTTCTCATTCATAGAGGGTTGAATGCCTTCATGTGAGGATCCAACTTTCTCTTGAGCCACCTCATTCTCTGCATAAGTATTGTTGGGCTACTTGATTGACATGGACCAGGACCAAAGAGGGTATTATCTTTTTTTCTTTTTCGTATCTCAAGTAGGTTAGTTTAAAAATAGATACTCTGTATTTTACAAAATAAAACTCTGTATTTTACTAACTGTTATCTAATGTTCATTCCTTCCCCTTATTCGATACGGAGTACGTGAGAAGGTGATGTAGTTATTAAGAAAAGTGAATTTGAATGGTTAATATTAAATTTATAAAGTAAGAAAGATGTATAATCACACAAATAATAAATCCGAAGCAGTATTGGAGGAATTTTTCCTTGTATTCAATCAAGAGCAAACCGCAATACATATATACAATTTGGCTTACAACCTAGGCTAATGGATAATCACCGTCTGTTACAAGTCAGAGACTCCTGATGCTATCCAAACGCACTATCTAAAAGTATATTTACAAAATAATAATAAAATACATTAAAGTAATAAAATGCAAGTATAAAATAATAAAACAACTTGGTATTTTCTCAATGGGCTTCGGTGCAGAACGGTGCATGAAGAATAAATAGCAACACAACACCCCCCCTCAAGATGGAGCGTGGAGGTCACGAATGCCCATCTTGGAAAGTAAGTGCGAAAATGACTGTGCACCCAAGGCTTTAGTAAAAATATCCGCAAGTTGATCCTTAGTGGACGTGTAGGAGGGAGCAACAATCCCACGTTGAACATGATCACGAATAAAGTGACAGTCTAACTCAATATGTTTGGTACGCTCATGAAAAACAGGATTGGAAGCAATATGAATGGCAGCTTTATTATCACAAAATAAACGTATAGGAGTAGAAGTGGTTATGCCGAGGGAAGAAAGAAGTCCCTTGAGCCATAGGAGCTCACACGTAAGAGTGGCCATAGAACGATATTCTGCCTCTGCCGAAGATCGGGATACTGTGACCTGCTTCTTAGTCCTCCAAGAGATAGGAGATCCACCTAGCATCACAAAATAACCAGTAACAGAACGGCGGGTGAGCGGACAACTGGCCCAATCAGAGTCACAATAGCCAGTGAGAAGAAGTGGGGAGTCACTGCGTAATAGAATTCCTTGGCCAGGATGACTTTTGAGGTAGCGTAACACTCTGATAGCCGCATCCCAATGAACTTGACGCGGCTGGTGCATAAATTGAGAAAGAATATGTATCGAGTAACAAATGTCTGGTCGTGTGAGAGTGAGATATATGAGTTTCCCAACAAGACGGCGATATCTATCCGGTTCAGAATAAAGAGGTCCGCTAGCCGACTGGAGACCATGATTCTGGACCATGGGAAATGTTACAGGTTTTGCCCCCATTAAACCTGTCTCAGCAAGAATATCTAGAACATACTTCCGCTGTGAAAGATAAATACCTGTGGAGTTGCGAGCAACCTCGAGCCCAAGAAAGTATTTCATATGAACAAGGTCCTTAATGGGAAAGGTCTTAGCCAAATGGGTTTTAAATGCACAAATCATACTCTTGCTAGTACCCGTAATTAAAAGATCATCGACATACACGAGCACACAAAGCATATGCGAGCCCCGTTTTAACGTAAATAATGAATAATCAGCATGAGATTGGCTAAAACCATAAGATATTAGTGCAGTAGTGAGTTTTGAAAACCAACACCGAGGCGCCTGACGAAGACCATAAAGTGATCGAAGTAGGCGACAAACCTTACCAGGAGTGGATGCTGTATAACCAGGCGGCAAGTGCATATAAACCTCTTCGTTAAGATCACCGTGCAAAAAAGCATTGTCAACGTCCATCTGATGTATTTCCCATGCTCGTGAAGCGGCAATTGCTAAAATGGTACGGACGGTAACCATCTTAGCAACGGGAGCAAATGTCTCATTGTAGTCAATCCCTTGCACCTGCTTATTTCCACATACCACTAGTCGTGCCTTGTAGCGATCTATGGTCCCATCACTTTTATATTTGATCTTGTAAACCCATTTACAAAAAATAGGTTTCTTCCCAGGTGGCAGGTCCTGCAAGGTCCAAGTCCCGGTGCGTTCCAAAGCAGCAATTTCCTGTTGCATGGCTGCACGCCAATGTGGATCGCTGGCTGCCTCACGATAAGTCCCTGGTTCTTTGGAAGCTGAAATAGCTGCAATAAAAGCACGATGCCGTACCGAAAAACGGTTATAATTTACATAATGAGATAAGGGATAAGGATTACCCGAGTCAACCGTCGGAGTGGAGTGAGCGAAAGGCAAAGTTTCCATTTTCATAGTGTTTAGCTGGATGGCGTAATCTTTATGCCATACTGGTTTGTGTCGAGACCGTTCTCCCCTTCGTAGTTGCCCCCCTGCAGTGTCCGTTGCATGTGAAGTGTCCGGAGAGGAACCTTCGCCGTTATTAGCATTGTGCACGTCGGTGTCCTGTGGTGTATTATTCTCAAAGACGGCTGCATTAGTGTTAGCACTATGCGAGTCTTCTGCATGGGACACACTAGGTGGCAGAAGTGGATTTCCACCTGTCGTTTCAAAGTGCTCTCTATCATCTTCAATGTGGGGTGAATAGAGTAGTTGCTCAGCATCAAGAATTGAATTTTTCCCATAATGTGGGACCTCGTTATTCAGACTGATACTTGGCCGTTCATAGTGAGCATATGGAAACTGATTTTCAACAAAAGTGATATCACGAGAAACAAAATGCCGGTGTGATACCAAATCATATACTTTCCATCCCTTCTGAGAATATGCATAGCCTAAGAATACACATTTAAGTCCCCGAGCAGCAAATTTATCCCCCGATTGATCCTTGGAGTGGGCATAACACAAACACCCAAAGACACGTAGGTGATCATACATAGGAAGTTTGTGATACAACAGTTCATAAGGGCTCTTATTTTCCAAGATAGGAGTAGGAAGCCGGTTAATGAGATATCCCGCCGTTAGCACACACTCGCCCCAGAAATGAATAGGTAAATGGGCATGAAAGCGGAGAGTGCGCGCCATGTCAAGAATATGTCTATGCTTGCGTTCCACCCTTCCATTTTGTTGTGGGGTGTAAACACAACTGGTCTGAAAAAGAATCCCAGAGTTCAAGAAAAAATTTCTTAAACATTGGAATTCGGTGCCATTATCACTTCTGACAATTTTCACATTTTTTCCAAATTGACGATTCACCATGGCAAAAAATTGTTTAAGTACATTTGACACTTCACTTTTTGCTTGCAATAAATGTACCCAAACAGCACGTGAAAAATCATCAACAATCGTCAAAAAATATCGGGCACCACAGGTGGACGGAACACGATAAGGGCCCCACACATCACAGTGTATTAACTCAAATGCTTCTACCGCTCTGGAATTATTAATATCAAAAACATCGCGGGTCTTTTTTCCTCTCATACATGCATCACACGTTTTATTCATGTCTATTTTAAACAGGGATTTATTTAACCCCACAACAGAACTCAGTACTCGCGTGGATGGATGTCCTAACCGTGAATGCCACAGCTCCCTTGTGTCTTTCTCTGTCATGGTGTATGCACGTATCTGCTCCACACTATGAAAATAGTAAACTCCACCTTGTCGCCTACCAGCTCCAATCAGTGTCTTCGTATGTAGGTCCTGTATCACACAAATATCATTAGTAAAAATTATGCCGCATTTCAAATCATCAATCAGGCGTGCCAAGGAGATTAAATCACACTTTAATTCGGGAACCAATAAAACATTTTTAAGTAGGACAGTAGGACTAATTCGCACTTCACCCATGCACGTTGCATGAGTAATTTCTCCATTAGGCAAATAAATTGGCATCGGCACTAATTTTTGCTTGCTCAGCAAGTTCGTTTCCTTTCCTGTCATGTGATAGGAAGCACCCGAATCGAGCAACCAGTCACCGTTAACTTTCATACCTGAGAATTTTTCATCAACATGATTTGCCTTACAATTTTTCATAAAATTTAGAAGTCCCTGCCACTGTTCAGCCGTGAAGTTCGTCATCGCCGTCGCCAATTGCCGGTAATTGTTGTCTTCCTTGAGTACTGTTCCACAGATATTCTGCCCCAGGAAGTTAGAACTGGAAACATAATAAGGAGAACACGGGTCGTTAATTTTCCTTCGTTTAGGTCCGTTCGTCATGGCCGAGTCGTCGTTCGCCATTGAGGGTCGATCGAAGAATTAATATGGTAGAGTTCGTAAATCCTGCTCTGATACCATAATAAATCCGAAGCAGTATTGGAGGAATTTTTCCTTGTATTCAATCAAGAGCAAACCGCAATACATATATACAATTTGGCTTACAACCTAGGCTAATGGATAATCACCGTCTGTTACAAGTCAGAGACTCCTGATGCTATCCAAACGCACTATCTAAAAGTATATTTACAAAATAATAATAAAATACATTAAAGTAATAAAATGCAAGTATAAAATAATAAAACAACTTGGTATTTTCTCAATGGGCTTCGGTGCAGAACGGTGCATGAAGAATAAATAGCAACACAACAACAAATATTATCAGACGTATTATGAGATAATAATAGTGAAATAAGAGAGTAGTCTTTTGTTTGCATTTGGAAGTAAATTTGTCTATGAAGCAGTTCTCTGTGTTTGACAACCATATGATTTGATGAAGTAAAAAATGTCCCTTGATCATTTAACGAGAATGACCTCTAGTTTTATTTTAAAACAGTAATCAAAGTATCTAATGAGTTTCTATACTTGGAAGTTGGAAATGAACAAGTTTATATGCTAAAATTAATTCAAATTAAAAAACATAATTTTTTTTTGCGAAATAAAAAATATAATTTGATAGCCAACTGATTTTAATCTTTACAATAAAATGCACGAACAAGTTTTTGATAAAATATTCAACTGGTCGTCGACATCAGTTCCTATTTTTTTTTGTTTATAGAGTGGAAATGATATTGTCAATTATTAGTTATAGACCAACTATATTCTAACTTTGAAATTGAAATTTTAGCAAAAAACAAAAAACTTTGAAATTGAAATTCACCCACGACCATAACCCGTCAGCATTTTTGTGTGTCTGAAAATATGTTTGCACGGAGTATTATTTTTATATAGATAGAACTGGTTGTTGTATATGAGTTTCTAACTGGCTACCCGTACCCGCAATGGAAGGGGGTGAATTGGTGAAAACCCCATATTTGATGTTTTCACTCCAAAAGTGGTGCAACTCAAACAAAAAAAAAGCACAGTGAGGAGCTATCGTGGATTGGGAGAACTTTTGGGAGGGGAATTAGGGGGTGGATCACCCCAAGAGAGAGGGGAGGAGCTAGCCGCAGGTTAGGAAAATGTGAGGGGTCCACATTAAATTTAAATCCCAATTTTGTAAAAAATGGTGTAACTTTTTTATTTGAAATCCAATTTTTATAGAAAATATATTAGAATTCATAAGTTTTTATGACCTTGATATGACATCAGTATGTCACATATAAGGTTTCTTAAAAAATATGAAGTTTTATCTGATGGAGAGATTTTTAGGCCTAAATTTTTTCTTAAGCAGATATAAGTTCTAAAATTAATGTCACATAGTAAAATGTTGTGTTTACATATTTCAATTATTTTTTTAAGAAATAATTCCGAAGGAACAATAAAAAATTAAACTCCAAATTTATTTATTTTTACATCGGAATGTATGACTTTTTTAATTATAATTATTCGGGAAAAAATTGTTTTGCGAAAACTTGATGTGTAATAATAAAAGAAATGGTTTAGTTAAGAAAAATTTGCTGAATGAATATATTGACGATGTTGGGTTGCGAGAAAGAATTGAATTGATTGATTTAATACGTATAAAAAGATAAGAGATTTGATTTATTGACGGAGAGGATTGCGGTTAGCCGTGATGGTAGTCCGGTGTCTTATATTTTAGGTGTATATATAAGACAATTGTATTATTTACACGCTCTATCAAGTTAAATGAAATGAAAGTGTGGTAGTCCGGTGAGGCTTTTGCGACTTATGTCTTTGAACGGCTTATTCTATTTGTTCTATTGTACTCCGTAAACTTTAACTCCAAGTAAGGAAATTGAGTGGACATTTTTGGTTGGTAATGTAGAGAGAGTAGCATACATTTTGTGAAAGACAGGGAAGGATCCGTTAGAGCTAAGTTGAAGTTACGCTACTTTAATTTTTTCAAATTTTTAGTGTCATTTATTTCATTTACCCTATTTAGTCTATCTCGCTAATGTTTAAATTTCATTTACCTCCCCATCTAGCGGCTAGCATTGTGCCTCGACGGTGGGCATAGCTCAACTGGTCGATAGATCGTGTCAGTGTGCCACAAGGGATAAGTCTCGTCTTCGAATCCCGACAACTGTGATGAGATGTTACTATGTAAAAATGTATAAGACCTCTGCAAATACCAGAACCAGAGTCTCAATCTCTATCTGTCAGCTTGTGATTAGCCCCTCAAGAATGAGTTGTTTTCCTTACTACTTACTAGCGATGTGCCTCCAAACGCTAACCATAAAAGATACCACATGCTTCTTTCTGCATAAAGAGGGTAACAATCTTTGCCCCGTCAATGATTCATCGAAGGATAGATAGATCGCACTCCTAACTGCTTCCCCTACTGTCATTTCTCATGGCCAACTAGGGACATCTTTTATCACCACTTTATGTAAAAATACGTTGAGTGATCCAAGCACGTACATTCTTTAGCACGTACGTTCTTTATTCTTTGAAATTAAATTGCTTCATCTATACCAGTCGTTGGACACACCACACCATCTTAACACAGATATCCTATTAGTACTTCGAAACAACTTTAATCTTTCATCATACTAAAAAACAATTTCACAATGTTGACATTTGTAAGATGGATGTCCCATATTCAAATTAAGAAAAGTAATCAATTTTTCAAATAAAAGTATAATACTTGAGACCTGAGATAAACAATGCTGAAACCCCCTCCATGGAGTTTCGAACCCGAGACCTCCCATATGGGACAGTGAGTCGGCGAGCAACTAAGCTGGACCGCTTCCTCCAGAAAGTGACATCTGAAATAGTAGGATTAGGAGAAGTGAGACAGAACACACTCAGAGAGTTATGAGTTAGTAACGCTTATAAGCCTTTATGTTATAACCAATTCATAACATTTTTAAGAGCTGTATTTGTACTTTACAAGTGTCTTGCAAATTGAATGTGATGTTTGTGTCGATTAAACGATACAAATAATTTCAATCCACATCATATGTAATTTAACTATTATATTAATACTTAGAGTATGTGTGGATTAGTAGTAGTGGGAAAGTATACATCACCGTATTAATCAATATTCATCTTCAATTGTGCACAAGGTAGCAGAGTCTTTCAATCTTTTTTCAACGTTGCACATTTTGCTTTCACGTATTTCAATTCTTCTAAACAACATTGAAATTCAATGAACTTTTTTTAATTCAAATAAATGAATACATATGATACAACATTTTTTGTAAACACGGGCTAATGTAAGAAACTAAGAAATGACAGTTATTTTGAATACTAGAATTTAAGAGTAATAAAATATGATGGATTTAAAATAACAAATTGTGACTGATAGAGTATTAATTCTAGAGAGAAGTGAGAGCTAGAGAGAGAAAGAGAGTAATTATATTTCTCAACCCCCTATAACTAGCCCCAAGGGGTCTATTTATAGGTAAAAATGTGAATTTGGGCCCCTAGCCATGGGCTTAGGAGGCCCATTACAATAATCATGCCTTCTTTGGGCGAAATAGGGCCACTAATGGGCTGTGTACAATACTTAGCAAATAAAGTAGAGAGATGCATTCTGCCAGGGCGAAGTCCGGCCGATGCGGTGCCTTTCGGCCGATGCGGTCTCATGGCCGATACGGCCCTCCGGGAGTCCAGGCGTGCTTCCTGGGCCGGTTCGGTTTCTGGCCGATGCGGACCCACTGGCCGAAGGGGGCCACGCGGGTGGTGTTCTGGTCCTCGTTGACTTGAGTATGTGGGCCATGGGGTCCAAGCCCATATACTCTATCAGTGACTAATGTAATTTATAAGATTTCGTTAAGTATTTAGAGGCTTATGAATGTGCACGTAGTTTAAATTTGGATTAATTCATGAGATTTAAAAATATATTAGTTTTAAAAATTTATTACTAACTTTAACATTTGCTTTTCAACTTAAAGCTATGTTGACTTGTTGAGGTTTATTTCTTCAACTCCAAAGGTCCAACACCTTCCTTTTGATTTCGAGTGGAAAGTTTAGTAGATTATATGATGCAAGCAAGTGAAGGATGAATAAGTTACAAGAGTTGTAAGTAGGCCGCATCTTATTCAATAACATTAAGAGTTCTTACCAACACACTTCACTACAAGCCCAAAAGCCGTTCGTCTATCTTAGCTAAGAGGAGAGGAGATAATTGTTATTGATATAGAATACTACGTATAAGTTGCCAACCCGTTCTAATGAAATAAATGCTACTATTTATACTACCAAGGGGTAGGTGATGCTGATGATGTGGAGGGTTGTGAATGACTAACTTTCCAACCACCAAATCTACTGCATTAAATGCGCTTCCTGCCAATATCTTGATTTCTCGCCAAGGACACTGGACGAGCATCCCCCTATTTTGGATACTGGATTCAGATGAGTGCAAGGGCGGCGCCCCACTCGCTTATGTGAACCGTCTAGCTGCAGATCATGGTTCATCATCCCATTCTTAATGGGTCAAGTCCAATGTGGCTTTACGTCTTCAGGGTTCACACGCGCCTCTGACCGGTACTCAATATGGACCGTGCCCAGATTGGCCCTTGATGGTTTCCTTGTTTAAGGGTAATGGGCTGATCTTCTATCGGGCCTGCCTATTAACCCAACAATCTATTAAGAGCCTCTTTGGTAAGTACTATTTTCAGCTTATCATCCTTATCAGTCATTTTATTTATCAAATACATAACTTTTAATTTTGATCTAAATTATACCCGGTAGTATACAACATAATAATCAACATAAATGACTTTGTAGTTACTTTTGTGATTGAATTAACTCAAGTTAGGGTAAAAGATCATTGTAACCGTTTTTTATAAGATTTTTACTTTATTCATCATTAAATTTTTTACAATATAATATATTTACAAATAAGTAAATTAGAGAAGTCGACCAATTTAGGTAGAATTTCATCTATTTCGATGTTATTAAATGAGTATTAAAAATGTAATTTTAAATCTCCCAAATTAAATGATTATTGTCCCATAGTGTTTGATCCAGCCCAATTAGAAAATCACATGCCCAAGATTTGGGAATTACCAAAGCCCACTTCCGCCATGCGATCTACCATCTCTCCGCTCGTCTCTCAGCCAGACGGTCGAACGCTATATTGCTCTCTCCGTTTCATCACCTCTTCCCATTCCCCCGATATCGGACGCCATTCGTCTAATACGCTGAGGTTAGTCGATTATTACGAACTGTCTTCTTATTTTATGGCATCACTTTTTCTTTGTTCTTACATATCTTTTTATATCTTATCAGCAGTGAATAGAGGGTGAATTGAG